AAACATACTTGCTGAAAAAACGATCCCCTTAAAGCACTCTTGTTATTGGATAATCCATTTTCTCACTCTAAAATCTTGAAAGTTTTAGAAGAGGATTGCCAGAAAACAAAGAGGAAAAAATCAATCAGCTGAATTCTACTGAGACCATAAAGCACTTTCTGATCCAATGGTAAGAAGTCCAAGTATTTACTAAATACTTGCACAATGATATGGTTACTCATCAATTTTAAGAGAAACAAACAACTATTGGCAGTTTCTTTATAATTCAGGGGCTAAAATGGCCACAGTTTAAAAATTATTTGTTTTTCGTAAAAAAGTAATAAATATTTTACTTGAAACGCCTCAATTGCATGTGTAATATATTTTATTTCAGACAACTATATTTCATAATAGAGAATGATTAATATTATTAGCATGAATTACTATTAAAAAAAGCGTTTCGCAGAACGAAATTTTTACTTAACAAAGTTACTGTAGGACCAAGAAGTACGTTGAGCGAGAGAGCTCTCATACATATATAGAATATGTATATACATATAAAATGTATAAAAGAGAGGAGAGAAAGAGAGAAAGAAAGAATGATAGAAAAGAAGGGGAAGGGGAGAGAGAGAAAGAAAGATGAATTAGAAGAGGCAGAGGAAAGAGGGAGAAAGAAAGAGCGAAGAGGAGAGAAAAAGAAAAAGGCGAAAAAGGAGAGAAGAGAGAGAGTCAAACAAACCCGTATGTATTCCCATATACATTTATACATATACACATATACATGTATAAATGTATACATATACATGCTATGCACGCACAGTTATACACTTTGTATGTATGTATCTTTTATACATACTTACATAAATGTGTACATAGACGTTTTTATTTATATCGGCGCCAGTAGTATTATCAGAATCAATACATTCCAGATAAAATACACATTTATAGGCACATACATATGTACATGATATATAAATCAAAGTCATTAAAATCGAATTATATTTAATGATCGAGAATAAAAAAAAGCAGATTTAAGATTTACATCATTGGTAAGTATATTAAACCGAATACGTCTACTAGAGGACACCACTAGTATGTATATAGTTCGAAAATAAGCTCGAAATTGCACCTAAAACTTAGCAACAATTGTTTTTTAATTTTTTTATAAAATTTGGATCAAGTTCATTAACAGTTATTTATATTAATTTTTAATATTTTAAAAGATATGTATAACATTTTTTTCAAATTTTAGATAGAGTTGGTCTAGAAATCTAAAATCTATTATATATTGTATTATGGAATTTAGATTCAAATATGTTCTTTTTGTTAATATAAAAGTTTAAATGTTATGACATTAAGATTCAAAATCATATTTATCAGCAAAAATATAATGCAGATTTTTTAATTTAATATTGAGGGGCCAATTCTCCGATAAAATAGAAATCTTATGGCAACTTTATGTTACGGCCCTATCCTCGTATGAATTGGTAGTAAAAACTTGCAAAAAACTATGTATTTGCTGTGCGATTAGGCGTTTGACACGTAAAACCTAACTTCGCGTATATGTTATCAATTAGATATCAGAAAGTTACACTTATGATAAATTTGTTATGTGCAAATTGTGCTTTTTGGAGGTTAGGTTTTATGTATGAAACGCCTGATCGCACAGCAAATACATAGCATTTTGACAGTTTTTGCTACCAATTCATACGAAGATAGGCCCGTAACATAGCGTTACTATTTAATCGGAGAATTGGCCTCTGAATATCGATTCGAGGTGTACTTTAGTTTCTCCATACTTTCATTGCTGTGATTTATTTAACTTTTAAGAAGTTAGTTCTCAAATTTTTTGAATCAGAATGATTTCAACGATCAAAAATTAATGCAATGTGCATACCAAAATTTATGATATTTGAATAATATGTGTTAGTAATGTGAACTATGGAATTTGCTAAAATTTAAATATGTAATATTTATACATAAAATAATTATTTAAAAAGTGTTTACTCTGAAATTTCTAACAATATAAGTCATGTATGAAAACACACACCCAAAGAAAGAAAAACATAAAAATTAAAATTTGAAATATTAAAAAAATAAGGCGGAAGTAAATTTTTATTTTGAATTTTTTGATAATAAATATTTCATTTAAATTGCCTTGGACCCTTTTTTTCAAAAAATTTCATTTTTTGTATGAGCCAAATAGGCTCACTTCTGTAAAAATAGGTATATAATCAACATTCGCAAATCTAGTTAAAACTATGGACTCATATGAATTCAGAATGACTTGAGACGTCGAGAAAACAAAATTAGTAAGTCGAAATTCTTTAGAAAACAAACTTCTCTTTCAGAATTTTAATCTTCGTGTTAACACGTTAATCGCCTCGATAATATCAGAAATTTTTTGATATGGGCCATGGTAACTTCATTAGATAATTTATTAATTTCCCTAGAGTAAGTTATATTAATCGCAAAAAAAGAAAATGAAAATTTTTGCATATCTTTACGTTTCAAAGGTTTCTGAACATTTTGGCATACCTCAGAAAAATGGATGTGTATGTGTGTGTGTGTGTGTGTATGTATGGATACAATTTTTCGTCCACTATTTCGGGAACACGGTTTAACCGATTTTAATTATTCAAAAAACATTCGATTGCTGTTGATTAGATTTTAGCATAGGCAGGTCTAGCCGTTTCGAAGATACGAAGCAAAAAGAGCCACAAATGGTAACTCAGTTTTTAAGAGAACGGAGATTTCAATTTTAATAATTCAAAAAACATTTTACTTGTATTAACAAGATGAAGAATTGATTATTTTTGGAAAGGCAGGCCCAGCGGTTATAGACTCTCAATAAAAATAAGGTTAAAAAATGTCATTTGGCAATAAAAATGTTTATTGGATATATGTACATCAAATATCAGATATTTTATAGAGATATTAATAATGTGTACACATTTTGTGTAAATTTTTTTTGGGTTCCGTACCAATTTTTTAATTACGTTACGGAAAGTTCCAGCAATTTGCCTTAAGGCACAATGCTATGCATCCCACTAGTTTTAATGTTATTCAGTTATTTATTAACTCTGGGCTTTTTAACATGAATTGTATAATATAATTCAATAGTTCACATTTCAAATCATCGAGAAACTAAAATCATTTTCCCAGATAGGCATAACGAAAGAGCTTCTTGAATT